TGATGGGAGGGCGGGGGGGAGGGAGGGGGAAGGAAAAAAAAACCCCAAACGCTACAAACGCAGAAGGGTGCTCGGCCAGCCAGACCTACCTGTGGCAGGCGGTTACCTAGCAACAGGCACCTTTACAGAAGTGCCCAGTTCTAACCCAGAGAGCTGGGAAGATCAAACAACCGAGAAGCACAAATGTGTGCGGAAACAGGGAGAGAGAAGCACAGGCAAAGGCCAATTAGCTTCTGGAAATGAGAAAGAACAACGTACAGCAATAAAAGATAATAAAATCCCAAACAGTGATGCAGGGTAGTGATTCTTTAATATGTTAATATCTTAAAGAGAAAACTGACAAATGCAAACATCCTGTTTGGGTCTTCAGCTACCGGAGGCTTCCAAAAAACCTTTGTGAAATGCGCACATCCATACGTACACAGTTTTGCTTCTCTGTTATTAAATAAAGACTTATAATCAATTTCCCCTGCTTATCTTAGTCTTCTGTACTCATTTTATAAAGATAATTTTCTGTTACAGAGCTTCTTCTATACCTCCGACATCCACCTCAGAAAAACAACGCTGTTCACTCATCTGACCACATAGTAGGAACTGACTCAGAACAATACATTAACACTGACTAGCAGCTGGAAATTTGGTATACATAATATTTAAATTCCCCTGTAAAGATAGCTTTCAAAAATAACTAATTGCAACATCCATGCTCTGAAAAGTACTCATAATCAAACCTGCTTTGTTCTACCTCTGACAATTAATTCATGACATGCCTGAGAAACTTGCTGGAACTCGCTTCCATCTTAAAAAAAAAGTTTATTTTGCACAAAATAAAGTATTTCTCTACTGCAGTGGAAGGCACTTGTGTTAACAGAAATGAATGCTAATTTATCACAGTTTAAATGATCTGCTTTTACAGACTGAGATAATTCATTCCAATCACACACTAATCTCTATAGATTTTCTACGTGGTGTTGAGGTTGATGAGTAGTTTCGCTTTTTAGATACTCATGAGCAACAAAAAGACTCTTATAAGTACTTTATAAGAGCAAGTGAACAAGTAACAAATCTAATTTATGTTTCTGATCTCCATCTAAAAAGCTTTAATGGCAATTTTAATCAAAAAATAGGATAATACTATAGATAGAAAGGTCAAGAACGGTATGGTTTTATGTTCTTTTAGACTGCCGAGTTCTTTAAAACAATTTTAGCATAGTATAAAGTCTGCTGTATTTCTTTATGATACTGAAAAAAGTATTTTGCTTTTCTATTTAATTAAGTTTTTTTGTCCTGTTTGCAACCGCTAGTGTTTTGAGACACAAGCTCAAGACTGTATAAGCATTCTGAGCATCATTAAAAGGGAGGGGAGACCGATTAAAAAGAAACTGTTGAGCTTAATCTGGTATTGACCTAGAAGACTTTAGCTACCAACACGGTATACACTGATTTTTTTAAAGACACTTTCAGATTGCTTGAGAAAGCACGAGAATCCCGTGACGGAAAGTTTCAGCTGCTTATTAGGAAAAATTAAAATACTTCATCAGACTTTCATTTAAAATTGTCTTCCCATCTCAAATTGGATACAGAAATGAAATCTACATGTAGAAGAGAGACAAGGAACATCAAAGATACAGAAAAACTTTTTTTTTTTTTTTTTTTTATGAGGAACAGTAATTAAGGACTTTTCGGTCAAGAAAGAGGATGATCGAGGGGAATTTGAAAGGATCTGAAATAAATAAGTCTAGATGACATGGAGAAAGTGAACAGTTTCTTCTGTGATATGAATTTAGAATCTAAACTAGCAGAACGCAGCTTCAAAACATACAGGAAGAGATGGTTCTTCGCACAATGCATGTTTAAATTGATGAATTCCTTGCTACAGGATGCCACAGATGCTAAAAATCAAGAACAAATAAATTCACAGAAAGCTGTGAAAGACAGAGACACTGTCTACGGCTCAGGCAGTCTCAAAACTGTAATTTAGAAGGGCCTGCATATCCTTTCTGGGGACTCATACCAAGGAAGTTTGCCTTGCTTTTTTTTTTTTTTTTTTGCCCCAAAACAGCTGTTCTTACTTAATTACAAAATATTACAATCTTCAGGGACCTATAAAGTCCCCGCCTGCACTCCACCTGTGGAATCTGTCTTACCTAAGGACTGCTTGGCCCGTTGTCTAAATACGGAGCAGAACAGGATTGGCTGTTCCCCAGCAGCTTCACGCTTGCACACCCATGCTCCAGAAGCAGGTATGTTTTGCTCCTGGCCTACTTCAATGCTCCCTTTTGCAGGGGTGGCTGCTCCTGGGGAGACTGTATGCACAGACTGATCTACAATCCTCATCCTGCAATACCACCATATTTACCTTCCAGATATACACACATGGACAGTCCCTTTGTGTTTTGCAGCCACATAAAGTGTACTTTCATACTCAAAAAGGACCACTGTATGTTAATAGTAAATTAAGATTTAATAATTAAATTAAAAACAAACACCATGACGCATGTGCAAATCTACCTGCACCATATTTCTTTGAACCTTTTGTCAACAGATTCAGTAAGGATGTCTCTGACAGTGTGAGAAAAATAACTTCAGTATTCTAAAGCATGGCATAAATCATTTTATTTTAATTACGTTGTTCATCGTAACACCACCAGTACATGACTATGTATTGGCTGTCTCTATAGAAACCAGAAGTACAACTAATTCCACCAATTTCTACAACCTTTTTTCATATTTATATGCCATCCAGAGACAAATTCATTAGGTCTCCTAAATACATGCTGCTTAAAATGACTGCATCTCATCTTTAAAAAATTGCAATAGAACGTTTCCAGGGAAACAAATGCACTGCCCTTGCATTCCACTTTTATTTAACTATTCTTTAATGACTTAAGCTTAGTTCTTTATAAACTCAAATACAGAGAAACAGATCAACAATATAAAGAGTACTCTTTTTTTTAAAGCATACAGCTATAGATGACTGTTTGACTTAGCTACAAAATTGTAGCTATGTTCAATGCAGAATAGTATACCAGTATGAAAAAAAGACCTATTGTTACTCTAACCCTGCTTCTATTAATAATAACAATTCTGCAGTGCAT